TCAGATGTCTATGAAATCTATGAACAGCTCAGGGCTACTTGCCCTCAGGAGCTTCTGAGGCCCGGCTTCTGAGGTCCAGCCACTTGGTATTGGACATTACCCCTTGTGCCAGCTGGACTGCTGAAGGAGCCCTAACCTGGAGTGGCTCCTGCACCCTCTACCCACTGCAGCAGTCTGACAGTGGGGGCTGCTGCCTGGCCGTGACCTGCTGCCACCTGTGACAGCATCCGCCCCCTTGGACCTGCAGCCACATGGCTGCGCCCCCGCCAGACCTGGTTGGGGTGCTCCCGCTCTGCCATCTGGGCAGCTATCACCCAGAGGAAGTGGTCCTTGTGGTAGCCCACTTTGAACTGTCAAAGCATGTCCTCTTGGCCCCAAATGGCCAAGAGGTCAGCTACCTCATCTGCCCTTCATTTGGGTCCCCAGTGCTGACCCCAGACAGGCTCCTCTGCACAGGTCTCGTGACTTGTCTCACCAGCAGAGATATGTTTCTTCTTTACGAATTGCAAATACTCTGATAAGAAACTGATATTCTGTCATTAAAATACCCAAAATAGTGCTCTTCCGCTATTAAAATGAAACGCCACTGTATATAGAGAGATCAGTTGGGCAATGTTTTATTGTTATATTTACAAGTGTAAAGCAATTTGGGGGGGAGTTTGTGGGTGGGTGTAGAGTTTGTGAGGGTGAGGTTTGGGTGGGGTATGGGGCTTGTGCAGGTGGCTTGAGGATGTGGGTATTGTGGGGGGACTGCTCAGGAGAGGTGAGTCCCCTACACACCCACAGGGTACAGCCTGGACTGTCCCTTTGTAGGGCCCACAGCCCTTCCCCCCACATACACACAGGGCACACACCCTCTCTGCACAGCACACATGCATCCTCACAGGGCCCACATACCCCTGCAGGGCCTTCAGTCACCCCCCGCAGGGCCTCAGCCCCCCTGCAGGGCCCACAGCTTGACCCTGCAGCAGCAGTGGGGCACTCAGGGCCCACTGAGGCCAGAGCCCCCAGTGCGGCATGGCCCTGTTTGCCTCAAAGCCTGCACCACCTGTGCCGCTTGTTGCAAGACTGGTCTGGCATGATGCAGCATGGGGCCATGCAGCTTTAGGTAGCACCAGGGCCACTAGATCTGCTCAGCTCCCAGCTCCCCCAAGCCACGGGTGGGGAGTGGGAGCTGATTGGGGTGTATGCTGCACGGGCAGCAGCAGGGCCGAGGGGCAGAGAGCTCCCTTGCCCCTCAGCCCTGCTGCTGCCCATGACCCAGGCAGCTCCCACTCCCCACTCATGGCTGGTGGGAGCTGAGCAGCAGTGAAGCTGCATACAGCTCTTCCCCCCCCCTCAAGCCCTCTGCTTCCTAGGCCAACTGGGAGCAAATTACTCCCAGTCACTGTTTACACATGCATTACTGCACAGTAGGTAAAACACCATTAATCTAGCACCTGTATTTGTTGGTACTAGCAAATGGTGTATTAGCCTAATTTACTGTGCAGTAAATCCTGCACACATGTAGACACTGATGCTTTACTGCACATTAGATTAGTTTATTGTGCAGTAAAGCACCTCATGTAGACGCACCCAGCATTGTTCACCTATTTAATCCAACGAAGATTACATTCAAGGTGAAGCGGGTCAGCTTCTAAAGGTGACTGGAGAGAGGTCTGGGCTAATACCTGACCTAACCTAACCTCTTTCTTACGTGAGGAGGATGCTTAACACACTGTGCTTGTACACAGAACAGGCAGCCCTTGCATGAGCAGCTCTACATTAGAATCAGCCTAGTCAAGACAAACAGGTGTGGCCTCTGGAAACTCTGGGGTGCATCTAGGTAAGCAGGGAAACTCCAACTTTGCCTGCTTTTGCAGACCTACCCTGGAAATCCCAAGGGCGCATCTTGGTGAGGAGTAGGATTCTGCACAGGGATTCAAGGGGCACGCAGTACCGGAAGCCCTAGAACGCATCCCCTGTTGTCCCACAGCGTCAATGGGCAGGACAGGGGGCAACACATTTCACTCAGTGAAACAGATAAGCTATACCAGGACATATCCCAGTATACAGCGCATGCTTCATTTGGTGGCATCTATTTTTAGCCTAGATCAGATGATTTGACAGGGGAAAGGAGAGGTATGAGGAGGGACAAGAGGATTTTCAAAAGTAATTTCAATTCAAACTAATTGTTGGATTGATCAGAGCACCTCAAAAATCCTTCTGTGCCTAAAGAGTAAGTGCTATAGCTTAGAGAAGAGAAACTGCATTGTTTCTGTAAAATCAAAGGGCTGACTCCCCACTTAAACCTTAATCATGGATCTGCAATTTATGCCTCTGTAACCTATTACACGGTTATTTTGAGAAAATCTTAGCAGTGATATGAAAAGCTGTAATTTTTATGACAGGTACCATAGCATTCTCCGGTCTAAAATGCCTTTTGTTTCTTTCCTTCCCCACCCCTGGCTTTAAGAATTGAAGAAACAAGTGCAGACCTGAAAAAGCAAGTGACAAAGTTGGAGGAAGAGTTGGACCAAGAGCAAAAGAAATACATGATGCTGGAGATCAAATTGAGGAATTCTGAGCGAGCACGTGAAGATGCTGAAAAAAGAAACCGTCTCCTACAGAAGGAAATGGAAGATTTTTTTTCAACGTTAGGGAATTTAACTGTTGGGGGCCAGGGAGCTAACGTCCCCGAATAGAGAAAGCTGACAGGCATCACAGAACATGAGATTTAAAAAAAAAATAAGATTGAAAGAAAGCAGTCCATCTATGCACATTTTGATCCAGTTTACTCATGCATCATGAGTAATCCTGCAGCAATTTCATGGTCTCAGTGACTTTTGTGCTGTGGTCTTTGGTTTACATATAATAGCATACTTGGACTGTCAGGGAAATTGACTGCTAAAGGCAATGCTCAAAAACGCAGATACCACATCACAGAATGTCTGTGGAGGAGATGGAGTCTCTCTTCCCAAAGGTCAAAGAGACTTTCTGGTTTACCATAGAAATGTCACTCGTTTTGGCTTTATTTCACCATCCCTTTGCTGATCCAGGGACAATAGGTACGCACACGACATCAGAAAGTGAATGGCTCTTCGGCCAGCCAGAGCTGAGGGAGCACAGTTTTAGTTTGTCACAGTGTATAGCTCATGTGGTGAATTAGGCTGAACTTGATAGTTATGTTCTCTGTTCATCATGACATTTGTTTTAAAAAAATATGCTTGGTTAAAAATCTTATTCCTGTACTCAGTATCATTTTACAAAGGTGTCTTGCAAAACTGGCCTAAAACCACTTAAAGGCATTTGAAAATCTGACACTTTACTAAGGTTGTCATCTGATTACCAAAAGCCTATGACTCCAATATTATTTGCACCAAATGTGACTCACTGAAATTGTATGCGATTAATAAACACTTTGGCTGAGCAAACTGCATAGAGATGTAACTATGCATGTCTTGCTGCAGGTGTCTTTATAGCCTGTGATTTCTCTCATTTTTGAAGCAGGGATCTCACAATTACTGGTGAAAACTGATGGAGTGACATGTGAATAAAAGTATCAATAAGGTAATGTAAAAATCTAGAACTCTTTGTTCAAAGATGATACCTGTTATTAGAGCAACTCTCAGTTGGTCTAATAAAAGGTAACCTCTCTGAACCAAGAGTGCTGGATTTTTGGATTTCTTTTCGTCTCAGACCAACACGGCTACCAAATATATCAATGAGGTAAGGAATTTATATAAAGTGGCTAAACTATTGTTAAATAAATCCCACAGTGAAGATAAAGTATTAAAGCACCTCAAATAATTTAAACCTAAGGGTTTGTCAGTCCACGTATATGAGGACCTTAGGTCTTACAATTAGAGAGAGGAGAGAAAGAGAGAGAGGGAGGACATCCTATGAGAATGTGAAAATGAATACACCTCTACCTGAGCAGGGAGGTCAGAGTTCTTTTCTTGTGGCTACTCACTATGCAGGTGCACAGCTATTATTTTGCACTGTTCAGAAAGGGACAGAAGTTGTTGCCATCTAGCTTTTAGCTTCCAGTCTTTAGTGAAAAGCACTCAGCTCCCTCCAGTGACCCAAGAAAACATTCTGTATCCCATTACTAGCTCCACAGAGCTGGAAGTGTTGCAGGTGAGCAAAACCTGTTTAACAAACATTTCTTGACTATGCCAGTGCAGGTAGGAGGGGAAGTTATGTATGTATTCTACATGTGTGTTTTGTTATTTCAAAATAAGTCATATTTTGAACAGTTCTCACACACACACACCTCCCTCCCACCCAGGAGGGTCGATAGTTTTATTCCCATCAGCATAAAGGTGTGTGGGCGAGGCACCTGCCTGTTGCTTGGAGCAGCCTGCCACTTGCTGGACAAGAAAGGATTAGCACTGCCCATCTTTCTGCCATGACATTTGTTTCCCCTGCAGCAGTTCTATTGTTATGTCCATTCAAGCCACTGATGGCAGGGAGGAAGATGGCCCACTATTTCATTAGATCAGAGCAGTTCGCTTTCCAATTAAATTTTGAGCTAGAGCATCAGGCAGTAGGTTTTAGCCACTTCCTCTTCAATATCCACATTCAAAAACAAAGCTTTTAATGTGCATGGAAAGCAAATGCAGCAGGTATAAATATTTTCATATACTAAGTGGACACCTTCAATTAAAAGTAAAGAGGAAGAAGAAAAGTAGGACACCTCCCCTGTATTTGCCTTGGTCAGGGGATCAGCAATGTGATATGGAGCTTTTCCTCAATGGTATATAATCCAGGTAAACAGCAACTGAATTATCTAAAAACTTCCCTGATTGCCATCACCATACTATCTGGGCACCCCTCAGCCTTTACCATATTTCATCCCCTAACAGCACTCTGAGGCAGAAAAGCACCGTTAGCCCTACTGGCAAACATATTTGTATTACCTTAACATTTGCATGTGCACACCCCCCAACCCCGAGCG